CCTGATCACTCCCACCCAGACAGTGCTGGCGCTCTCCTGATTTACCACTGTAGCGGGGAGAAACGGAAGATTTGGCTTCTTTCACCCATTCACCCAATTAACCACAAGCACGGCACATCCCAACTAGCACCTGTAGAGGGCAGCATGGGCCCAATCATCAACATGGGGTGGCAGATCTTTTGTAAGTCTCACTTGGGAATTGAAATTGCTGTCTAGGCTCCCTGCTGCCATACATTTCACCTGGAGGAGCTGGTTTAACATAAAATCTTTTTGTAGCGTCTTAGGGAGGAAGGGTTCACTGCTCGCCTTAGTGTAAAGGGGATTCAGAAAACTCTTCCTCATAGGATGAGATTAAGAGCTGTGGGTGCGAAACGACCCGTTCTTTGTAGGATGGGTCTCTTGGCTAAGTGACCTGTAATGGCTGTCAAGCATGCTGAGCCACAGAGGGGGGTTGGGGGGGAGGGGGGTGGTGAATGCAGCTGGAGTGGCCTGGAGGAAAAGAGTAACGGGAGGCCAAAGCCTATGGGAAGCATTCCGCAAGAGGCCCAGGTCATATGCGCATAAATAAGACAGCCTACAGGAGGAGGATACACTATTATATTCAAGTAAAGGGTTAAATGGTAATTTAACCAAACAACTGATCCACAATGTAAGGTCCACCAAAGGATCTTTCCCTGCTCCCTGGGTCTGGTGAGAAGGTTAAGGAAGATACTGATAGGACTCACCTGTGAGTAACTGTCAACAGGATTCCCTGCAGTGCCATCCTGCTGTGTATAAAATGAGTTCACTAAGAAGCAGGGTGTGTGAGCTCATCAAAGCCAAGGGGCAGGAGTGAACGTTTTTCTCTGGCCTTAGCATCTGGCTTACCCCTGCCTGACCTTTGGATTTGGGGCTGAGCAGCAGGACCCACCATCACGTGACATTTCCTTGAACTTTCGTGAGTTGCTGTGGGACACTGCAGTGATTTGTAGAACCCAGAAACATGAGGGAATATATTCAAGGGAGGAGTGGGGGGTGGGGGGAGAATGGAGCAGACTAACTCTTGGAAGAGTTAGACATTTGAGACTTCGTCAATCTTTAACTCCATGGGTCTATGGTAGTTACGTAATTTGGTGTCAATTTGAGACTATTAAGGCGTCTAGCCTGTCAATCAGTTTGCAGCTTGATGACCTCATTTGGAGGTGCAACGGAGATCTATAGGTCACTGGAGGCCAGATACACTCACTCCCTGGGAGACATTCCTGTTGACAAGCCACATGGACATATGCTGATGGCAGCCAGAGCCCTGAGCTGGAGGAGCCATGTGGAAACCCACGCCGCTGGATCCACAAGACTTTCCACCCACTGGCCCGTGATCTTCATTGCATGTGTTGTATGTCTGAAGAGGAATTTACAGACTGGTATT